TAACCCCGATAAAAAAGCCTAAAAACACGCTAAAAATACCCCCAAAACCCATACCTCTGCTTGGAGAGTAACCACTCAAGGGATTTGAAGAAAATGAAATAACTTCCTCAAAAAAGTGAAAGCCATCTATAGTGACCATGCACTCAAGTAACTTGAAGAAGATAGTTACAGTAGCCACTATACACAGGATTCTTAATGCTTGAACCAATATAGAAAATGATCTTAGACTCGCTATAAACGATCCACAAAAAATCACTAGTCCACAATGACCAGATGTTCCATATCATCGTGTAGCAGTTTCTCTTTCGTCTAAAAAATTACCTTTGTCCCCAGGTGAGGGTCATCCCCATCCAGCTGCAGAGACTGTTTGCCAAGCTGCTATTGGTCGATCAGGAGGCCTACAGCACCACTGAGCTCACGGACAGTTTTGGATGGACCAATAGCGAGGTATGTTACAAACACAGAATTTCAATTTTGGCAGTGGTTTGTAGACATGTTGTATCAATAACTGTATAGTAGCAGTTTTCCTGCCCTAAAATCGTATTGCGTGTTAACATAATAATTTTTTTATGCACAGGAGTTGCAGCAGCATGATGTTCAGGAGTTGAGCCGTATCCTGTTCAGTGCTATAGAGAGCTCGCTTGTGGGGACATCAGGACAAGAACTCATCGCCAACTTGTACCATGGTACCTTGGTCAACCAGGTAAGGTACTCAAGAATTTTTGCCATCTCTGATTAGAAAACAACATACATGTACAATAACCATTGTAAAGGTTTTGTATGGTAATTCCGTAGACAAAGCTATGTGCTAAGTTCAAATCTCATTTCGTGAACTTAGATGTCATGGGGATAGGTTTCTTATTAAATGTTTTTGTATTGATGTTTTGCCCTCCAGATCATCTGTGGTGTATGTGGGAGGATCAGCACACGTGAGGTAGGTTTTGAGAATTGACATATGTGAAATCCCTACTCAGTGTTTGTTTGACACTTTTTGTTTCAAATGGACAATGCATGTCACCTGTGTTACACAATCTCTTGCTTTCACAGTTTTTGTTCGATGCTTGGCCAACATTGCACCAGAATTTAGCCTGTTGCAGACCATATCTTTTCTGACACAACATTTCAAAAGTACAGGATGTCATCGTTAAATATGCAAGTATGACTTTAAGCGAGACGTTCTGCTGAATTGCTGTGCATAATACATTCCGGGTTTCGTGCAGGTGCAATACATTTGGTCGACATGCTTATTACCCCTCTGATGTTTTTATTTTTTTCCAGGAAGATTTCCAGGACCTGACGGTGGCTGTGGCAGGTTACCCCTCACTACAACATGCCCTGACTGATCAGTATGTGGAGATGGAGAGACTAGAAGGGAAGAACCAGTACAGATGTGAGCAGTGCAATAGGCTGGTCAATGCGAGAAAGGTCAGTCTTATTCAGAGATAACTGTTGAAATTAGTGCAAGCTTAAAAACATGAACAAGAACAATTGTTGATGCAATAAGAAGTACAGCAACTTTTTTTAGGTTAGTATGTAGCTTAATCTTGACACTTAAACATCAGAAAGCATTGATGTATTACTTTAATGTGTTCAAAAGTTACCTATAGAATTTCAGATTCAAGCTCTGAAGATAGGCAGTACGATTTGCCATTAGGTTTTCCTTATATTCTACTTTATTTTGTATTGTGCACCCAAAATTTCTTCTGTGCAACTAAATCTATAGCTTAGATTACCCAGTGTACCTACATGTATTCAAGAAAGTGAATATTGAGCCCTGCTAATATATTTTCATTCTCCTCTACCAGGGTGCCAGACTGAAGAAGCTGCCCCCCATCCTGTCCTTCTCCCTGCTCAGGTTCAGCTATGACTATGTCAAGTGGGAGAGGTACAAGGAAACCGGCAAGTTCACCTTCCCTAAGGAACTGGACATGGCTGTCTTCTGTCAAGATGTAAGTTTGAGGATATGTGTCTTCATGATCACTATATATAATACATTTAGCCACCACCAGGGCTCAAAATACTTTTTTTTACAAACCCGCACCACTTAGAGTTTAGGAAGTATGGATCATTATGTTGAGTATCATTGATACTAAGGGAAAATGGCTTTTAGTAATACAAAAAGGGAAATTTATATTCATAATCTTCTTGATTGTTATGGTCAACTTTTCCTTTTTCTACCTGCAGGTATTTTATTTATTGGTCAAAAGTTGTATTATAAACATTTAGTCCTTTGATTGTGTTTTTTGCAGGCAGAACAAGAAACAGACACGATGTATGAGCTGTTTTCAGTTGTTATCCACAAGTAAGTAACTTCAGAGTGAAGCTTGTCTGTCTGTGTGTTTGTTAATGTGTTAATGAGTTTTTCTGTATTTGTATGTGTGTGTGACACTGTTTATTTGTGTGTGTGTGTGTCGGCAAGGAGGTTAAAAAAGGCAAGGAGGTTAAAAAAGGGTTAACCTCCTTCCCTTTTTTAACCTCCTTGGTGTCGGTGTGTCTCCTTTTCTTCTAAGTGGATGAAGACTCCTATCTGTGATTTCCCCCCATTGCCTTTTGATTACGATGTTGATTTGAAGATGTTGCACTAACCTTTTTCTTGTTTTTGTGACCCCTCAGGGGCAGTGCCCATGGCGGTCACTACCACGCGTACATCAGGGATGTGGACGGACTGGGAGTCTGGATTCCTCCAGAGGACCAGGAAGTGGCCATACCTACAGACCCCAGCACAGGTAACAAATAACTGTTCTTAAAAAAAAAAATTCGATTTGCAGGAATTTTTTTACTGAATAACTCAGCCTTCTTCAGCTACCTAACCCAGCTGCTGAGGACATGTGACTTTATGCACAATTCTGTGTAATGTTAGCAAAAAGGTGTGACAGGTGTAAAGAAAGCCATGTACATCAGGGATTAGAACCAACCTTGTCTCAACCGGGACGGGGGACGATATAGACTTACAGCAATAAGAGTTAAATGTTGTGCATCAGAGTGAAAGGATGACGATGATGACGGTGATATTGGATACATATATTGGATCTAATAAATCCTTGTGTCAATCTATTTATGCAGATTTATCAACATCTACATGAAGATGATATACTTCAGACTCTGTAATGTACTTTAACAAAGTTTGTAAATTTGTACAGGCAAGGTTGACTACATCGAGGTCAGTAACCCCACCCAGCTGCTGAAGGCCATCCTGCAACAGGTGGGGGAGGGGGGCACCACGGTGGACAAGCTCAGTCAGGTGGGACAGACTTAAAGGGCATGATGTAACATTTTACACACTCTGACATTAAATTGTGGTTGGCAATAAAACAGCCCACACTTAATTTCCTTCCCGTCAATTTAACTACATGTACATCTACATCTACATCTATATGGTACTAAGCAATACCCCTCGCGGGGTCTAGGGCTTAGGGGAGTGGTCGTTCCCCAGCGTGACCGGTGGTGGTGGTAAGAAAAAAACAAACAAACAAAAAACAAACAAACAAACAAACAAGAACAACAAAACAGGTGCAGTACTATATACAGAAGTCATGGCTGGGGATTGGCCACATTCCTACAGCTGGGTACAGCTAGGGAAGCCATACATATATGTAGTAGAAAAGAACTGTGTAAAACTGTCCCTTCATTTCAAAGTCAGCTGGCTACTGTTCTGCACTATTCTGACTCGTGCTGTATGTTGTTTTCAGGCTCTGATGGAACAAACCGGAGTGTCGTGGAACAAGCGCTTCAAGAAACAGTATGGACCAATCACAAGGGTACATAGAAAAGGATTCAATTGTAGTAATGCAGATACTTGTAGTGGAATCAAACTATATCAAAATTGGCAGTTGTGTCCTTCAGTTATTTTTTTTTCTTTAACACAATAACCAGGAATTGTAAATGATAGAAAAATTAAGCATACTGGAGCCTGGTATGTCTTAAATTTGCTCAGTAACTTAACTTAATTGGATGATTGGATGCATGTGACTAGCAACTTGGTAGACAGCTGCAGTACTTCATTTTGCTGCTAGGTGGCATGACAGTACTAGTTGGGCCAAATGTGCAACTAGAACCCATGTATTGCTCTTTTATGTACATCGTAAAATGTATGATCAGTCATTTAATTTGCAGCCACTTTTCAGTAATGTGGTACATGCAAGTTACAGTATGATAATGAACTACCAAGACAGTAACTCTAATAATCTGACGTCTTGCAGTTCCTCAAGAAATATGACGACATCTTCGAGCTGAACCCTGTAGTGAACTGGGTGTCACTCAAGGAGCCGTCCGCCCCTGCAGACATGCCCGATACAGCAGCAACAAACACGGAAACAGACGGCATGTCTGGTGAAGACAAGAAAGGGGAAACATTGTCCAGTCAGGATTCCAGCTGCCAAGAACTGGATGTGGGAGGAAAGTGCAATTGTGGGGTAAATGTGGGGACCGAAACCTCTGCAGTGAAGAAGCCTGCTAAAAGGTGATGTATGATTTGTGTAAATAATTGTGAATAACCATGTTTTGTTTGTTTATTTGTTTGTTTGTTTGCTTTGTTCACTGGTATGATTTTTTTAATTGATTAGAATGTTGTGTGTTTGTTGTGTTAACAGGTGTGATTTCTCTATTTTCTGGATCACATTTGTATGTTTGTTTGTTTTCACAGGCCTCAGAAGTGTTGATTACCATATATTTGTTTGTCTTTTTGTTGTATTGACAGGTCTAGTGCCTTGAAGGTGTTGATTACCATGTTTTTGTTTGTTTATTTTGTTTGTTCAAATTGTTGTACATGTGTGTTAACAGGCCTATTTCCTTGGAGGTGTTGAGTACTATGTTTTTGTTTATTTGTTGTGTATTCAGGTCTGATCCCTCGGATGTTGTGAACTGTTGGTTTGACTTTAACGACTCCCGAGTTCGCCCCATCCCTGAGTCAGAGATACAGACCCAGTACCAGGGCAAGGAGAGTGCCTACATGCTGTTCTACAGGAGAAAATCTCTCAACAGGCCACTGGAAGGTAAAACCACTGTCACACATTCAGAACCTTCCCCTGACCACCAAACAACCAAGGTTGGCTCAAGTTTGGGAGCAGTCTGACCAGATTTAGGCCACCCCTACCTTTCAATACAAATCAAACTGACTTTGAGTCAAATTTGACCCTACACACCCGCTAGTACTACTCACCTGTACTCTCAAAAACCAGCCAAACATTGCCAAACCTCCTGTCCACACCTAAATGTTTTTAACATTTTGAAACATTCGGCTGGTGCAGCCGAACAGTAGCCAACCTCACCAAACTTGGCATTTATAAAATATTAAGTACCAGCTCTTCCCATCTTGGCCCCCGGTCAGCATTTTTTTAAATTAAAGCATTTCTCCTTTCAACTCACAGCCAAAGGCCTCCCAACCTATGGTATGCAAGCCTGGCAGTTGGCAGAAGTCATTGAAGAAAATTCCAGGCTTCAGAAGGAAAGGTTGGTGTGCCATACATGTCTTTGTACATGTTTAATTACATGAAATGGTAATACATGTTTACTGAAATGTAGTTCTGTGAAGTGTTGATAACTGCATTTGCAGTCATACAGCCTCCTTAATTCAAAGAATTACATATGCTGTCCTGTCTTTCTATCACCTTGGCCCAGTAGTCCAAGTCTATTTGCAGTTATTTCTTGTGATGTGGTTTGTCACTGCTGATATGTTTCAGCTTTCTTTCTTTCCAGCATTGTTCTTCTGTGCTCTTGTGTAGCTGCCTACTAGGACACACTAAAAACAATACCTGCATTTTTCATGGAGGACACACCAAAGTAATACCTGCATTTTTCATCAATACCTGGAGGTAATAAACCTACTGACATGTTAATTACCACAGGGAGGAGTATGACACAGCAGTTAACACCATCAGTGTAGACGTGCTGGTCTCTCACGAGTACATGTACCAGGGCGGGGCTCTGCAGACACTCCCTGGTTGCCATAGCAATGTGATGAGACTGACTCTGGACAGGAGGAAAAGTGTGGAAGATCTGAAGGTGTCTATACGAGAGGTGGGTATGGTTTATAGACTCACTGTAGACGGTCATTATGTTTACCTTCTCAAAACAAAAACAAAAATTGGTTTAAAATTTTCTTCGTTTCTTCTTCTTCACCAATCGTATTACCTGGATGTCTAACCTTCATCGACGTAGGTTACAGATGGTCATCATAATGTTGGCTCTAGTTAAACAAGTGGTTGTGAATTAAGAACTTTGCTATTCAGTCATTCTTCAACCTGATAGGTTTTTATGGTTACTTGTCTCCTTTGTTGTTTCAGATGTTGGGAAGTCTGTGGGCTGGACCCATGTGCCTTCACATAGCCAAACAGCTACCAGCAGGTCTACATCTATACGACTGTGTGTCAGGTGGGCTTTTGTACTTCATACAATGTACTTACTTACAGAGCAAAAACTTGAATCCCTAGCATCTTTATCTGTCTAGACGGTATAGCAGGCCCCATATGTAGCATCCTCTGGAAAGGCACTTTACACCTATTTTCTCACTCAACTCAGGTAAAAATGAGTACTTAGCTATGGGGATGGGGCATAAAACGAGGGCTACCATGTTGAGGATATCCACACCTCAAGCACATAAATTTAAGATCCCACCTGTCCTATTGAAAAGAGCATGGATCAAACCTTACAGTTTGGTCTTATGCAGCTTGAACTTACTGACTGGTGTGTTACACCTAAAGGCGGTTTATCGGTTATATAAAAAAATCTTGTGTCATAAGCCATATGCAAAGGAATTAATGAAAATGCAAGGCTTGCTTTCCTTTGGTGTATTTCCAAAAATTTTCAAATTTTACAACATGTAAGCTTTAAACCTCCCACATGTATTCCTTAATGTTTCAGGGGAGGACAGTAAAAGAGTGTTGGACGTTGGCATTGCTGAGGGAACCCAACTGTTTGTCTGGGATGGACATCAGGTACGTGAAGCCACTGTCACACATTAGGTCTAAGTTCTCTGTCATGACCAGTGGAAGAGTAGGTCAACTGTTTATTGAGTTCTTAAGCTAAACTGGTTTGAGTTGACTTTTTTAAGTTTATGCCTTAGGGCTTATTGGTGAAATGGTGAAAGAGTGTACAGAAAGAGTGTACAGAGTGTTCAGTGCAATTTAACCATTGTGACTTTTCTAAGTACTGCCATGGAATACAATCTAAGCTTTTTTGGGGTTTGACTAAGGCCACAGCAAGTAATTTTTATGGATGACATCAGAGTGCGCATGTCATCCAAATTAATCAAATCAACATGACTTTGCTTAACCTTACAGGTTGGAGGACTTGCAGTGCCTTCAGGAGAGCGTTGGGAGCCCGTAGCCATCAGCATCATACATGGTACCGGCGCCGGTTGCCATAGTAACACCAGCCGGGGGTTTGCGAAGTGTTCAGCGCTGGGAGAGTTGCGAGTCCTGGTGTCAGACCTGACCAACATTCCTGTACAGGCCCTGGTGCTGACCAAACTGTCGGACAAGAGCGGTGGTGAGACGATAATTATGCTTACCTTTACAGGAAGAAAACGTATTGTTTTTGCTCGGTTTCTTCTTCCTCTTCTTCTTCTCCAAATGGATAAAAGGTCAATATCAATTTCCAAGAAACTGATAGCAAGAAATACATGTAGGATCTGAGTACTCTAATGTGATTATTTTTATGTTCATGACTTTCACTGATCTCTTCCAGAAACAGGAGAAAACCTTCCATCAGTCGTACTGCACAATTCTCAGGTATGTACGGTGTTCAGTCTGCTTTCACCTCTTTCAATAATTGTTCTATGTGCATTTAAAGATTTTTGGATTTTTGAACAGAAAAATTTAGCAAATTATTTCTCATGTGTCTAGAAGAATGTTAGAAAATTTCTTACAAGCGGTAATTGTAAAGTGCATTCATTAAACTTGATCTTAAGCATCCCATGGGTGGTCCTGTTCACCAAATGTGTACATGCCAATATTTTCTGTATTCTCCAGGATGGTTCCAGTTTACAAGTGCTGGGTTTCAGGGATGGAGACAGACTGTTGGCTGAGACAAAGACCAGCAGAAGGTACTGTTAACCTGCTGGTCATGTTTACATAAGACTGTTTATGGATAGATGGATGGATGGGGGGAGAGAGGGAGGGAGGTTGATTGATTGATTGATTGATTGATTGATCAATCGATCGATTGATTGATTATTCAAGTAAATGGTTTAACATATCTATGATCTTGGTTTCCTCACCTGTCTGGTAGTTTTTCCTGTTCTTTCCATGTTTACTCAACGTATCATATCATATCAAAGCTAAGCTATGATATTTTGTAGGTTAATCAGTAAACTCTAAATCTCTGATAATCACGCACAACATTTTGGCTTGCAGGAAGAGAGGAGGCAGCCCAGAAGAGCAGACCCAGGGACAGACTGATGCTTCCCAAGTCACACTGTCTATAGAGGAACACTGTAGTGGGAATAAACTGGCTGCAGATATCACTGTAGATACTCAAGAGGTATGTCATTCTTTACAAAATCTCACCTTCATTTTGTTACTTTCCAGTATGAAAGAATTGTTATGGGTAGCTGAGCTGTGAGTTTCTTTGTGTATATCCGGACAGAGACGGTTGATAGCATGTGGGTGGGGAATTCGATTGACACGTACTGGCAGAATGGAAGGGCAAATGGTCAGACACATGTACAGGAAATAGGGTGAACTTGAGAGAAGGTTGATAGCACATGGGTATGAGAAAGATTAGTGACGACCAGAATGATATCAGGTCAAAAGATCAAACACAGGAAATAGGGGTGACCTTAAATGTCTGAAAAACTCAAAATACTATAGCCTGGGAAGTCTGAAATCTCTGATTTCTTGTTTTAGGTTAAAATTGTTTGTAAAATAATTTCATTTAGAGATATTCATGTAAAAGTACAAAATTAATGTATCCTTCTTCATTACATGTATATCATTATATAATTGATATATATTTGATTAAGTTGTGCTGTGCAAGCAAGCAACATACATTTATTTATTTATTTAATCTTCAATGACACCTGAGTAGCTCCTTCAGCCAATAGCTGATTTCCAAGGAGGCCCAGGGGGAGTACAGAAATGTAAAAGAATAATAAATAATAGAACATTAATTCACTAGATTCACATATTATTTCAGTCAGCTAGGCTCAACAGTAATTTTCTTGCTCCCAATTATAAATACACACTGTATGTGTTACCTCAATTGTTATGTGGCAGTGTTAATTGTGTCATGTTGATTATGTTTTTATTTATTTCTGAAGACTATAGGAACAGTGAAGGTGTTGGCTTTGTCACAGTTTGAGCTGGATGATCTTCATGGTATGTCAACATTCCCTTAAGGTTTTATCCTTTGCTGTATCACAAATACAGTATATTTCAATATGTTCTGTATTTTCTGTAAGAACATTACATGGACTATCAAAAATTCTATGCAGTATACATAGTGAGTAAAGCAAATATTTATATTTCATGCTTACAGCAACTTAATAGTTATTTCTGAAATTTAATGTGAAACCACTATGATCCATTTTTCCATGAATGATATTAATTTTATTCTTACAGAATTGTAATTTTAATTTTATATGTCGAACTGTTTCAAATCCTGCAGTCTGTTTTTAACAACACATGTCAACATAATACGTCAAAGTGTAAATACCACCTGCAAACAACCAACAAACAAAATTCTATTCTGCAGTCTAGAAATGATGATGTATGATCTTCATTTTGCATGATAAAAATCGCAGTATGTAACTATTACACTTTCTACCTAGGAGGCTGCCATCTCCGCATAGTTAACAACCAGGGCACAGGACCTCCCTGTAAGTGTGTAATTATTCCACCTACTTAACTGCAATCATAGCCACCTCGTTAATGGGGATATAATTACAGTAATGAATTATAGATAACGTCGGATTGGAAAGTACATTAGGGTGACAGTGGGAAATCTTGGCAGCAGCGTGCCATGCATGTTGAGTTGGAGTTTAGTTTATTAGCTCGTGTTTAGCATTCTATAGGAAAGGTTATGATATCATTGCTTTTTCAGTACGAGTTGAGAAGGGTTTGAAATTAATACTTAACGTCACATTTTGTAAGTTGTCAGAAATTGAACTTAAGGTTTCTGTAGATACACAAGATATACCGTCCCAATGTTACATACATGTACATTTTGTACATGTAGCTTAAGTCAGTACTAAAAATAGACTTTATAGGAGGTTCATGATCATATTATACAAGCAGTAGGGGAGGAGGATGTTCCCCCAGGAAAAATCTTGAAATCTTGACCCTCTGAAAGACTATTTCCTGCATTTTGTGAGGTGAAATTTGTTGTTAGACTCAGCTAAGTTTCCTTACATTTCTTTTCACATGTTAACATGCCAATTTTTGTCTGTTGAAGGTGGCAAAATTTTTGTCTGTCGTGAGCGCTAGCAGCAAATATTCCATTAAATTATAGACTTTATTTTGCAAAATCATGCCCGAAGTCTAATTGCTTCTACATTCAAAGATACTAAATGAAAGAATGAATGAATGAATAAATGAATGAATGATACTATTCGGTACAATACAGTAATAGGAGGCAGACAACTATACTGTCTGGAAAAACTTATACTTCTACTACTACGCTAGCTATTATGAGGTTTTAAATTATGGAAAGGCTGGCACTGCCTAGAACACTGGGCCTATTAAAGCTGGAAAGGTGAAGCATTAGAGCCACCCTGTTAATAGTATCAGACACACATGACAAAACAAATGGTGCATGTGATCAGGCTAACTCAGCCGTGTAATGTCCTTCTATCAGCGCTGCCAATTGAACCATTGACCAGGTAATTGCCAAGTACACGTCAGACAGTGGGGAGGTCGTCTGGGTGAACGGAAGAGACGTGTGCGGAATTAAGATAGATAGACTTGGCCTTGTGCAAGTTTTACCTACAATAGCGGGTTTTGTTGTAAGGGAGCGGATAAATTGAGGAAGAATATTATCCATTTTGGCAATGTTTTTGTGCTTTTTTTTCTACAATGGAACAATTTAATGTTACAGTAGTGCTTTCATTATCGATGGCAAGTAAGTATTGTTGTAAGAGAGCAAAGATATCATAACTAAATGTCTAGTGACTGTTAAGCAATTGTTTTGTTTGGATTTGGATGTAAAAAACAATATCTTTAGCAAATTTTGTCGATGGAGAACAAAGATATCACAGAAGTATGTCTTGCACTGAAGCTGTTTGCAATTCTTTATGTTACTTTTCTAAAACATAAGACCGACATTGTCATGTACAATATCAATGGTAGCTTGTTGTATAAATAGAATAGAGGTATTGCATGGAGAATACAGTCTAGCCACTGTTTAGGAATGTTGGATTATTGAAGCCCATTATAGTCTCACCACTATTAAACAGAATGTTTTCCTCCCCAGTATATGAAGACCAAACAGTGGAGAGTGTGAGTCTGAGAACAGAGGCGAGACTGAGACTCCAGCCTGGCAAAGCGCCAGCTTCGCACCAAGTAAGGCTGAGCTCCTCTGGCATTGTCCTTTCTCTAGTAGAAATCTGTGTCATACGCTAAATTTGCACTTCAATTTTGTGGCAATGTCAGTAAAGTGATATTTTGTAGTTTGGAGACACTGATATTGAATCCTTGTGCCACTGGGTTTTGTGGTTAGGGTTGTTGAAGGTTCTCGGTTCGAATCCCTGCAGGTCCACTATTGTGTGGCCATGTTAAAATGAACTGTTTGTGACGTCTTGGAATTTCAAACAGTATGTGTAGATAGAATTGTAGTAACAACGGAAATCAGAGGAGATGTTTCTAGGTGTGACGAGTTAAATTGCGGACCAAGTCTTAAAACACAGCGACTATACAAATGTAACACGATCTACAGTAATGGCAGCAACTGAATCCTTCTAGACTGGCATTTGGATGGATGCCAGATTGTGTCAGAGTTGGCGTAGCACGTGCCAGCGTTGCTATTGGTTACCAGAGCGGTGGTTTTACGCTGTCGCTGCAGACAGACAGTTGTTGGTTGGGTGAGGTCTGCCGTGAATGGGCCCCAGTGTTAGGGGATTGTCTGATATGTTTTGTTCTCTGTTTCTTGGGGTCATGTAAGGACAACGTTGTCTCCAAGCAGAGGTTTGGGTGGGGGGAGGTTGTGGCAGCCGGAATTTTTACATGGTCATTATAGACTATAGAGAAAGGGTTCTTAATGCAGATTCGACATAAATGATCTAGATGGTGTCTTATGTAGTATGGGATGACATGATAGATCCAATGTGTGTTATAACTGTTTATAGATGTTGTTGTATGTAGGTAGTATGGTTTTAATCATTACTGTGTGTGTTATAACTGTTTATAGATGGTGTGTACATGAATGCATGTAGTATGGGTTTTATAATAACTGTAATAATAATAATGAATGGTTTATTGGTCAAATATTACCCATAACTGTTTGTGTTATAACTGTTCCTAGATGGTGTTGTACGTGAGTATGCTCCCATCTGTGGATGATGTGGCTGATTTCGAGGTTCTCACTGACAAGAAGGCTACGATCGGTGACTGTCTCCGCCAGACCTGCGCCCGTGCGGGCATCCCTCCCGAGAAGTGGCACCTCCGCCGGACCAACTGGTGCGGGGAGGCGGAGGATCCTCTAAACGACCTTGACATCACTCTGGAAGCAGCAGGCTTGCACCATGGTGACCTTGTAGTGTTACAGGTATGACGCTCTGTGGGTTCATCTTTGTAATTCCATTGAAATACTGTAAATCAGGATTTTTTTTGGCGGTACTTCAATATTCACGGTTTTCATGGTCACTTCTTTGCTGCAAACTTATCATTACCATGAACAAATAATTAGCCAACTTTCTTTTTGCTGCACCTGCTGCCATCACGAACATATAGTTCTGAAAAAATGTCCATTTGTTTTTCTCAGACTGCAAACTTTTGCTACCATGAACATAAGTGATTTACAGTACTTTTGCTGAAAGAAGTGCAGTATAGCCAGGCTAGTCATATCCCCAATTCTTTAAGCTTTTGTTTTCAATCTTCATAACTGGATTTTGCTACAGGAAGGGAGGATCCCGCCCAAGGGGTTCGTCTGCATCCCGGTCTACCTCTACCCATCCCCGGAGCAAGGCATGCTGGGAGGAGGGGACAGTGGCATGCTGGGTTGGATCACAGCTGGAGTCAACAGTCTCCTGCACGCAAAGCCTGATGGGAGGGGGGGCGGCGACAGTGGAGTACTGTTTCTCGGCGACCTTGAAATTTCCAGGTAAGCTCCCTTGTAACCAGTAGACTGATTTTCATAGTTTTATAGAATCTTAAGGTTCTGGGTTCAAATTCCTGGCAAGCCCCAATGTTGTGCTGTTAATTTTTTTTTTAGTACATGTAATTCCTTTACATTAGAAGTTCCGTCAGCTCATTTTTGTGATGCTGAAGAAAAGTGATGGAATGACCAGAAGTAATCTCCGTAGTTTATCCAGTAGTGCCTAAGAGTTTGTATTGTCTTTGAATATTGAGGCTTACCTTATATATCTATGTTGCGACAACTAGGAGTTACTGGGTCTCTCTTATTATGGATTGAATCCTACCTGAGCGATCGTAAACAGCGAGTTGTTATAAACGGGATGTGCTCTGAATGGCTATCAATTGATGCAGGTGTTCCACAAGGGTCACTTCTCGGCCCATTGCTCTTTCTTGTTTTTATAAATGACCTTGTTGACAACCTACGAACAGATTCCCGTCTTTTTGCTGATGACACCGCACTGTTAGAGATAATCATGGATCCCGTTGTCTCAGCGAACAGACTGAATCATGATCTCAGTGTAGTGTCAGACTGGTCAGACCAGTGGCTTGTAACATTCAATCCCGGCAAAACAGAACTGATGACTTTTTCCTCTAAAAGAAGAAAGGTTCTTCACCCACCACTATACTTTAGAGGTGTTCAGCTGACTGAAACCCCCTCTCACCAGCACCTTGGCTTACATCTCACTCCAAATTTATCATGGTCACTCCACGTGTCAACTCTGGTGACGAAAGCAATGAAGCGAGTTAACTTGTTGACAAGAATATCAAATTTTGTGCCACGGAAAACGCTTGAAATCTTGTACAAAGCCATGATACGTCCTTTACTTGAGTACGCCAATGTTGCCTGGTGTGGTGTTCTTATGAAGGATTCAGACCTCCTTGAGTCAGTCCAGGTGTCCGCTGCCCGGGCTTGCACAGGCGCAATGAGAGGGACGAATCACCACCGCATTCTATGTGACGTCGGTTGGGAAACACTTGCCAACAGACGCGAAAAGTTCAAACTTGTTCACTTTTATAAAATGGCCAATGGCTTAGTTCCCAAATATCTACAAGACTTGGTTCCCCCACTTATCCGTGATTCCACCCCTTATGGCCTGCGTACTGACCAGAATTATCTCCCTCTTACCATCAGAACTGAAAAGTACAAAAAATCCTTCTTGCCTTCTGCTGTTTTCTCTTGGAACAAGTTACCCCAGACCGCCAAAGAATCCCCATCCATTCGTGCATTCAAAAATAAATTAGAGTCTTGCTTTGATAGCATGCCCAGACATCCCCACTACTCTCACGGCCACGGACACCATGTGACTCACCTCACCAGACTCAGGCTTGGTTTCAGCCAGCTGAACTACCACCTATTCCAGCATCACTGTATCAGTAGTCCCGAGTGCAAATGTGGGCATCCAAATGAGACACCAGAACACTATTTATTACACTGCAAATGTTATAATACTGAAAGGACCAAAATGTTGTTATCCATATCTTGCCTTCATCTTGAAAACATACTTCCTTCCGACCCACTCAACGTAAATGACGCCACATTATGTACTTTACTTCTTACTGGTAGCCCCAGCCTCCCTTACCCTACCAACTGCCGTATCTTTGATATTGTGTTTAACTATATCCACAACTCTGGAAGATTTGACCAATCTCAATAATGTTATGCTAGGTATTGGTGCGCCAGCCACTTTCATTTTATGTTAATGCTATACTTTATGCCATCTTTATGTTTACATTTGTATTATGTTTTATGAGCAGCGGATTTACATAAGCACAACAAGTGCTTCCTATCCAATGCTCAAAAATCCATGTGAATAAAAATAAAAAAAAATATCTATGTTGCATATGTTGTATGTATGACTACCTATCCTATTTTCTCCCAGGGTTGACACTTAACAATAGTCTAGTTGGGCAACCTTGTATGTTGTAAGCCGAGCTAATAAATAAATAAATTGCTTACCTGGATGTCTAACCTTCATCTAACCTAACAAACAAAGAATGCTAGTAAGACCTTACAGTGTGTTTTCCCCACTGCACAGGGAGGCTTCACTGCTGGACCTGAAGACCCAGCTCCTGACCCGCCCCCATATGAAGGATGCTCCTGTCCCCACCCCAGGGTTTCTCAGGGTCAGGACAGTGGAGGGGGGGCGGCCGGCAAGGGTGCTCAGGGGGGGCACACAGACTCTCAAGTAAGGGCAGCTCTGTGTAATAACTATAATAATTCTCCAAGCAGAATAGAGCGGAATCATTCCTCAGCTGACTCTATTCTCAAGTAGACTCCTTGGGATGTTTCTTATACCTTTCTCTAGGCATTTTCTCTGGCTTTTTTGAGCGTTTCTTTCAAAGTCCTAAAAAATGTCCCAACCAGCCCAACCTTTACTTGGAAAATGAGCTTGTGTCAGTCATTATATATCTATATTCAATATACAGTGCTTACATCACAGTTTCTCCCTTATATTTTTCCGTCTTTTCTACTGCAGGTATCTTAAAATCAACAGTGCCACCCAACTGTGTGTTCAGGTACTGCCACAGGAGGAGGATCTCAAGTAAGTACTTTAGTAGTAGTAGACTGGTTTATTCATTCGTTCTTCATACAAGTCAAGTCATGATAGCCTCTTGACTCTTAAATATTATAATTAGATACACTTCCAAAGTTCTACTTCAGACTATAAACTTAAAGACATATATTATAATACAATTGAAATGGCAGCCATGTAATAAGAAGAAAGAAATTTTATTAGTAAATGGTTGAAGACCTAATTGATGATGTCTTATATTCCTTGCTAATACCTACACTACAATGTATAAGGGCTACGCTAATGTTGCTATATCATCTCCTTGCAGCCAAAGTGTCCTTGTGCTAAACCTACGCCGGAGGATACCAAACTCCCGCGAGTACACCCCTGAGGAAGAACTCCTGTGGGATACCAGCAGAGGTGCCACGCCTTCTGTTCTCAAACAAGTCATCGCCGATCGTTTCGTACTTCCAGTGGAAAGAGTGTCTGTCGCCAAACACTTTCCAGAGAAATTCCAGTGGCTCCCCATACAAGTGCCCAAAATGTCCGGAAAACCTACTAAAGGGAAGAAGAAAGGGGGAGGAGGAGGGGGTAAGGGTGGAGGGGGTGGTGGGGCAAACCTGAAGAAGCCTCCCTACATGCTGAAGGATGGGGATACACTCGGAGTTAAGGTAAGATTCAAAATTACTTAATAGATAGTCTTTTAGGCTTGAAATACTGTAAAATGGTAGCAGTATAAATTATGTGGAGTGGAATCATTCCTCAAGTATTAACAAACATCTTTTGTTGGGGAATGAATGAATTACATTTATTATACCTTTAAGACAGCTATAACTCAGTGTAAAATATTGAACAAACATTGAATGAAACTTGGTAATGTAGATGTATTTCTGACGTGATAATTGACACCTGTCATTCCTGCAGGATCTACAGTTTGATCCGTACAACAAGGATGACTTCTCGACCCCCACAGATGACGCTGGGAAGGAGGAGCTGCGCAGGGTGGAAGAAGAGAAGAAGCAGAAACGACAGCAGGGCAAAAACAGTAGCAGAGGCGGGAAGAAGGAGAGAAGACCAGAAGTGGGCATCACCATACATGTGGATGACTTCAGATGATGTTGATGTCATCTAGTCTGGGTGCCATCCTCTGTACTTTCTGCCGGCTTCTTATGTTGCTGGCCACCACGGAGTCTGGACTCCCTATAACGTCTGCTTGAATTAGCTCATTACGTGATATCATCACCAGACGTTATAGATATCAGCAAGTCCACACTCTGTGGTGGCCAGTGGCATTAGGAGACAGCGGAAGGCACACAGGCTAACTAGTCTTCTCAGCAGGCTCTACCACTAGGGCTCTATAGGAGCTTAATGGCTAACACCTCTAAGTCAGGAGAATTGGAGACATCTTTATGCCATGGATTTATGCAACTGTGCGATTGTTGTCAGACTGAGTCTGTTACCATGGTGTTGGAGGCTGTGATGACTGGTTTCAATCCTGAGCTTTTGCATTTTTGTGGTGATGAAGACTACTGTTGGTAGTTCTGAGAATGGTTCTCTTGAGCCGGAGGTGTAAGGCCAAAAGCTCTGAGGGAGGAGGTCCATGCAATCAGCCTCTAGCAGCGAGAGGTTACAACTTTAGCACATTCTGAAGATTTGCAATGACTACTGTGCAATGTCACCATATACTAGTAGTTTGTTATCAGCAAAGGTACATCACACCCACATACTGAATGACAAACTTTATTATAATTTACATGTATGGTAAATTAAACATACAAACTTTCTTTGAAATATTTCTTGTTTTAGTTATGTTTACTAAATCCCGAATATGTGTGTAATTTTCAGTTTGGCAGTTAAAAGGAAGAATATTCAACAATTTTCCTGAAATAGCACGTCCCCATTTACTATCCGTCTGAACAATTTCAATGTGCTTTCGAGGGAAAATGTCTACCAGGCTTTGGAAAGCGGCTGAAGAGTAGAAATTAGCTAAATAGACAATATGCCAGAGGAGGGAACAAGGAGTGGCAAACTGGCATACCGTCTATTTGGCCAATTTCTACTCTTTCCAGCTGCTTCCCAAAGCCTGGTAGAGGCCGGGAAAATATCACTGAATTTGTATGTGGATACAATCTATTGCTTATTGTCCATTGAGACAAAGATATTAAACTGTTGACTGACCAACACCCACGGATCCTAGTCATTACTGTGTTTCTTTCTATGATCCCAGTTAAGCAATATGGCACTAGTATAGTTGGCTTCAAGTATTTATAATTTTCAGTGCCTTGAAGTCTTAACTACATGTACAAGATTGCAGTGCCTTTGTATGAGACATGCTTATCTTGCTAAATATCTATGGATAGTACTTAAGTAACCAATATGGTACTAGTTGGCTTTAGGTATTTGTAGATTCTAAATCTTTAGTGTCTTGGAAAATCTTAATCTTAGTGCCTCCATGAGACTTGCCTTACCTATGGATAGTACTCAATATGCTGCCTACATCTGTGTATTGCTAAACAGCTATAGAAAGTACTCAAGTAAAAACACAAAGACACAGAATGTTAACTAGAATAATTTATTTCCATAGTAGAAAAAATGGAAAACATGGTATTGCAAACGGGATGGTACATACGCCAATACAGTGAGATGCGCCGTCACTTCATAGTTTTCCAGGGTGAACAAAAGTACAGTTAGGTCATCACAAATGTTTCTTCTCTAGACTGCGAAAAAGGTTCTGTCAAGTCCCCTACGTGTGAAATGGTCAGTTCCAAAACTCCAGTAACGTGTTGCATGTTGGAATGTACCATTAGAGAAGAGGGGTGAACAGGTAAATTTTCACAGGTAGAATCACAAGGTTCTGACTTGTACAAGGAGTCTACAGCTATCCTACATGAGCCAAGCATTGTCAGAAAACAGTTCACGTTGGCAGTAAAGGGTTGTGTACTGTGCTACTCAAAACTCTTACGTACGAGGATTTTTTTTGTTTCGCTTCAATTAACTCTTTCCCATAAGATGCTGCAATTACCCCTGCAAGGACCAACTCAATGGTTGTTACTGGGACTGTTTTGTCAAAGTAAACTTTCTTCTTTTATCTTCTTTTTCTACAAGAAAGATGTCGCATTGAAAACACCACTGCAAAGCAAAAGTGTCCCATTTCGTTTGGAGTTGTCATGTTCTGAATACATCATGAAATAAAATTTCCGAAAAGTGCCAAAAGAACAAAAATGCAGGCTATCCACTTGCAAATATGAGTTCAAACAACCTGAATGTTACTTTTTTGTTTGTTTTCTGTGAAACTGTCTTTTGTGTTCCCGTAAAGAAAGGGTGGTAATGGAGCTTTTCGTTATTTTCATTTTATCCAGACTTTGAGGCTTTGAAGTTGTGGTGGGCAGAGGTTATCGAGGGGTGTATTGCTCATCTATAGGGGTAAACCAACAAGTTTTATTTCGAGTGCTCTAACAGTTACGATAGATACAATATGTGCAGTCTACTGTAAATATAGGTACTACTTGGCCTGAATCCCAGTTACAGTAATACGTGTAAAACTCCACTAGAACGACAGTTGGGTTAACAGTTCTCGCAAAATTCAAACCCCTAACATTGTACTAAGTGTTGTAGTATGTATCCCACACAGGGAAAAGAACATCGCTTGTATTTGGGTGTATTTCTCTCCAGTTTTATGTATGTCCTGTATTCACGATATCGAATCCGTTTCCTCGCCTGTTTTCGTTAACATGTAACCGTCCAAAATTTCCACTGTTCAACATAACCACCAGTACCCTTTTTTGGCTACGCCTCGGGGCGAAGCTTTTTCATTTTCTTTTTGAGAACTTCTTTCTTTCAAGACTAACACCACTGGCAACCAACCACAGTTAATTATAACATCACTAGCATTATGTTTCTATATTATGTATCGATATAATGTTCAGTTGTTTCCGTTATCTGTCTAGAGTGAGCTGGGAATACAGGCTCATGAATATAGTTGCAAAAACTACAACTTCCCTAAGCATAAATTGGAAATAATCGAAAAAGTAAACTGAAGAAAAAAAAAATTAAAGTTAATTGTACTACATCTTGGAAACAACAGTTAAATCAGTTTCTATCTTTCCCTTCCAGAATCAAAACTTCAAATCATCTTTCCACTCAGTGTTTCTACCTTTTTTCCTACTAGGTGAGTTGTCAATTCATTTTGTCATTTCATCGTATTCTGCTTAGTAATGTCATCTACTACATTGGCAATACTACACAATATAAGTATTATATAGATGTAAAACCAAATTGGTTCAACAGAAAGGAAAGGAAAAAAAAAGAGAAAAATCTCAAAACGTCCCAAACAGTGAGTATCCAGTTTTGTTGAGAGGTGCTTGGCTCAGACAGTCACCTACCTTTGATTGCACAGCGATCCTTTATAACTCCACGACTCCAAGGGGTTTAAATACAGGGCTTGGGCCACATCTTTTTAGTATTTTCCACGCGTACACAACCCTGCAGAAACTACGATGTATTGGTGGTGGTACATACGGCTGTGATTTTTTTTTACTGCTGTACAACAAAGGAAAAATATCGACTTTCTCTCCTCCTTTAGTAAGTGTAATGTGCTGCGATCATGTTTTCCTGCCTCAACCTTTTCCAACTATACTTTTGCCACTGTTATGGGGTTTTGTTGTCCCTCCAGGGAGGCCACAGGCCTGCACCCCCATTTCTGGATGTAATATTCCAATGGAATCACAACAACATCCCACTGGAATAGTTCACTTAACATCCGTACAGGGGGGACCCGGAGAGATGAATATTGGTGTTGCTTTTTTTTTATATTTTTTTTTTTACTTTTTTGTCTCAACTTCGAAGTTAATGGCTATAACTGTGAAGAACATAGACCTACCAATAAATTTGTAAGTTGCTCTCATCTTTCCAGGGAGTACGTTTTCGGGCTAGCATTCCGATCTGATCTTTTTTTAAATTCCACGCTAGCCCCAGCGACAGACCGTGGCAACACACAGCCGGTCAACTCCAGTTCAAGCTTTACTTTGGGTCTTTCGAATCTGACATGGTAAAATGGCATCGCAGGTTGTCGTTGGAACAGAACTGGTCTTCGTGTCCGATGGTATGATGGTTTTTAGCCTTAATGCGTTGTTGCGTATTTCTAGAACTCAGCACATTTTTGGCATCATAAGGCATTTTTACATTTACATTTACCGACAACTCACTGGCAGCGAATTTCAATATACAATCTCTCTCCTTTACATGCTGCCAGCGGATGCCCCAATTTTTTTTATACAATTTTTTTCATATAAAAAGGCTTGACTCTACATTCTTTTTCGTCTCTCCTAGCATAGAAAAAATACAAAAACTTTTTCTCTTGAAATAAAAATACACAAATGATTTTAAACAGAAAAATAGCTGAGGTACGCGGGTACCCCTCCTGAGGTAGCATTTTATACAATAGTTCTTTCATTTCATCTCATTACCGTCCCTCGTTTTTCAAACTGGCCAACTTACAAATTCATTTCATTGCAAAATCATCTCCGACAGAACTTTTTTAATCTTTGCTTTTTCCTAACATATGTTCTACCCCACCTCTTCAAACAGTTAATTATTTACCAGCCAGACAATTCTTTTCAATAGAAACAAGCGCAGCAATCTATAGCTTGATCATCCCCATCCCTACGTGGCACAGCCCAAATATGGACTCTTCTATTCATTATAATACATCTGGGCTGTGCCAAGTTAGAATTGTGGGGGTGGTCAAGTACCTAAAGCTAGACTCAAGCGGCATATACAGCGCTTTCTTGGCTTGCAGCTAAAGTCACAAAATCAGCGATGCCTTATTTACATGTCCCCTTTGCAAAAACAGGTGAGTGGAAACCGAATCCCCTTTTTTGTTTTTTACAGAGAGCAAGCATGGTAGAACTCAACATACGTACCGTGTACAACAAGAGTCAAACTAATACCATCAGGGGTTTTTTTTTATCAGGACTTAACTTTTTTTTTCTCGAAACATGTGAGGTAAACAAGCAAAACAATGCTTCTCATCCTTTGTCAGTCTTTGGTACTGGGGTCAGGGGTCGGACATTGGGTGACGTTGCTCCGTGGTGGTTGCCATGTGGGGGGTGCGTTGTTGTGGCGGGCTACTGCATGTTGACATGCTTGGGTGGGCCGGGCTGGCGCCGCTGCATGGGACCCTGACCTTGCTGTTGCTGTTGGGCTTGTGTGACCAATTTACGGATCTGTCGCTGTGCAGACTGGAGATGGAACAAAACATAACACAAATGAATAAAACTGAACATTTCATATTCATTTAAACCACCAACAATCAGCACCCTCATTGTAAGATTCAAGAATGGTGTGAAGCTGTGACATTCAAAGCTCTGTGCAACAGCATCATTTAACTCCAAATGAAAGTGCAACCAGTAACGACTCACCTGAACAGCATAGAAGTTTCCTACAATGGTGACGGGCACCTCTCCGTTTTCATCCCCCTGCTTGTTGCGTGGAACTTCGATTCTTGCGCTGGTATTTTTTTGTAGACCCTGAACCTGTGGTGGGGAGGGGGGTGGAATATTTATCAGACAATGTAGTTGACAGTGCAGTGACATGATTTAAACTAAAACCAACATTGTAATCAACTTTTTCAGAGACAAATCAAATCAAACTTGCTAATTATGAGGGACAGTCTGGATTGGTGTATTGCAAATGAAACACTTGGGTTGAAGCAACTGTATGTACATGTATGTACATGTAGCATTAAGTACAAAATGTAGTACATTACATGTATGTTACTTACAGAGGCTCCTCTCTTGCCGATGATGCGTCCGACCATGTTGGATGGCACAGGGATTTCTGCACGCAGGACCTAAGTAAAAGAAACATTCCAAACATTCCTTACAAGGAACTTCTTTGCAACATACAAGAAGTCAACACACACAAATCTCTAGTCTAGAACACACTTAAGATGTGAAATCTACAAGCAGTTACTTAATTCAGGCAGATGGGGAAGAGCCTTTTCAGGCAAGAAAGAGCAATACAGGTGCAGAAATGCCCTGCAGTTAACTCAAAACTGCAAGAGGGCTCTCTTACACTACCAACTGTTTTTTTTATCACTTCACTTCAACACACTCCATGCTCAGGAAACAAAGACACACGCAAACAAAAAATCCAAGACATTATCAACTCCTGTGTAGGAAACACTGCAAACTGGGGAGAACTACTACAGGAAGAAGCATCACTGTTCTTTCTCAGGAAAACATTAAGCACGAGCAAAGATTGCCCCACACCAAGCAGAGTAAGTTCTGGGGCCAACTCACCACGTTGTTCCCTGTGTACCCCTCCTGTCCAACACAAAGGGAAACACCCTTACTCCTTCACGTCAAGCTAACTATGGTATACTTAACAACTCTAAACTACCATACTTTAACCTTCTCCCTGTTTAGTTAACCTTTAGGCACCAAATTTGTATTGGTTATGGGTCAGGTCAGCAGCAGAAAAAAGGTTAAACTGCAAAGAATGAAGACCTTCTTTGGTAGGGCACAAATGTTTCAAATTTACAATATGGCCCAGACACCCTAGTACAGTATACCCAAAGCAAGACTTACAGTATACTATAAATGAGACTAAAAAAATGAGATCGTACTACCACATCGTTGCCTGCATATGCCTCCTGTCCGACTTTGGTGAAGACCCACCATTGTACCTGCACAGAAGGTAAATATTTGCATATCAGTTGGCTGGCACATATTGTCAAATTTGATTAGAAGAAGTATATGGTTCTACCAACATCCTTACAGTAATTCTTGTTGTACGTAACTGATCTTTTATTGCAAGTAACAGAAACAAACTTATGACACCCTGAAATAAAAGCTGTCATATTTTGTTTCACTTTCTCTACTCTCTACACGTGCCATGTGACCGTCCCTACCTTCCACTGGGCGTCAGGAGATCCGGTGATGGACACTTTGCGTTCGCCCTGCCCCTGAGCGCTCTGGTCTGCCGGTGCGATCTTGATGGTGGCGTTGGCCTGCCTGGACGCCGAGCGGATGTTCTGACCGCCCGGTCCGATCAGTGCGCCCACCACGCCGCCCGGTACCCACAGGTCCGACTTCTCCGAGGGCTGGGGCTGCTGCATCTGCTGTTGCATGGCAAGGGCGGCGGCCGCTGGGGGCAGGATGCCAGGGAACATGGCAGGGTTGCCTGGCATGGCATTGGGCTCCGTCTGGAATCACACAATTAACATTCATATCTTCTGTACATGTACAACATGCGATGTGTTTTAGTTGTAAAAGACCGTCTTGAACACGTTCTATGTTTGTTAGGAATTTGATGGTATGTGTACATTACTTTATGTTGAAGACTTTTTGCATGTAGATTTTGCTTTACAGTAAAGGTAAGAAAGACACCTAGAAAATAAAACAAAATGTACCAATAGTTATACAGGTATGTACTTAAATCACAAGCTGTGACAGAACATTGCCAGTTTCATACAGACTGCTAGAAACTGAACCCTGAATGTAACAGCTAGGGAAAATCCAGTAAGGTCATACTCTGAACTCATAAGGGATTCAAACCAAATTAGACAGCTGTCAATCACAGACAACACTGACGTCACTTTCCCCACACAATGTGCCTCGACCTTGATTTCCTTTTGTAACCGCTACCGCGATTGGCTTGACGGTGTGTCTGGCCACTTACCATTGGTCCATTGTAAGGGTTACCACGGGAGTTTGGATTGGGCAGCCCGGGAAGCAGGCCTGATAACATCGCCATGGGGTTCAGCCCAGGGAACATGCTCTGGTGTTGCTGTGGTTTGAACAGGAGGTCCCCATTAGACAATCCAGCCCGTGGCCAGCAGCAACAAAAATTTCACAATTACATGGGGTGTTTGTGTCTGCATGCTGTTTTTTGTTTTGTGTTGAGGGTGGGAAGGAGGGAGGTGGTGGTAGGCCAAGACAGTAAGTTGTGGCTTGTTGTCATTTCTTCCATTGTGTGCAAAGGTACCTGTTGCCTTTGGTTAAACTCTGTCAACACCAGACAATAGAAAACTCTCATTGCGAAAAAAAAAGGGAAAAAGGTTTTACAAAGTACTGAAAGGAACTCATACAGGGGGTAGATTTTGCTGTGGAACTCCCACCCCCTAAACCTTTTATAACCCCTCCAGAAAAGCCTGAAGCTGGCTGTGATTGACAGCTGTCGTCTGTACATCAACGTTTCTAGTATACGTTCCAACAAAACCACACTCTTCTAAAGCGTTACAACATGCAGTCTACTCCTGATGCCTGTTCCAAGGCCACACACCCCTCCCCTGGAAGTGATTGACAGCTTGCCAACCACAGTCTCACCTCAGACATGCTTTTGTGGAGGATTATTTTTACAACAGGACTCCTTGTGTAGAACGATGCTTCGTTCAAAATGCATTATGCTTCTTTCTTATATAAATAAATATGGTATTTGTGCTACAGTTTCAGCGTACAATGCAGGTATATGAAGTGATGCTTGTTTTTGTCACTTGTTGAAACACGTGTACAGAATCCTACCGTGATGTTCTGCATGTCGGCTTCATAGCTAGCACGGAGCTTCTGCATGATGAACTTCTCGGCCTTGCACTGGGCGTTCACTTCGCCAGAGATGGTCACGGTCCTCTCCCAGTTGTACAGAGTCAGCTCCTGCATGCTGCAGGGGAGGGAGACAGAGCAACAGTTCAACCTTCAAATTACATAGCATGGTCCCAGAGATGGAATTTGGGATAAAACCAGGTGGAAAAATGTTGTCATAACATAATAGTGAATTTCCATTCATAAGGCTAAAGTGTAAGTCTATCTGTGCCATGTTTCTAGGTGTACAAAGCTTGGATAGTGATTGAGTTCTACTGTATGTTTATGTAACAAACTTAATAACACACAATGACTGCGCTTACTTGGAAATACTAATACGTGTGTTGGAGTCCTGCATGATTTTCTTGAGAGTGACGCCAGCCTTGCCGATCAGACGGCCCACGAGCGAGTTGTGGGCGAGGAGTTTGAGCGGGACGTCCTCGCTGGAAGGGGGGTCGGACCTCTCGTCATCAGTGCTGCACAGTACGGTACAAACCATTCCACATTCAGTGTTTCCCAAAAACAAGTTTTGTACATGAAGGTTAGACATCCAGGTAATGTAATACACAATAGGACTGTTACTTAAGCAACTGGACAGAATTTGAAAACTGTCAGATGTTTCTACATAGTAGCATCCACTTTTTGTCAGTGACTGGCTTTTCTCATCTCCATGGCATTAAGGCAGTGTTACAAACAAAAACAGACTAATATTCAATAAGTCATACGATGAAGCAAAGTTAAAACACAAAGGCAAAGTGCATTTATATAGAAAACAGCAAGAGGGCCATCATTCTGTATACTAAGCTTATGAGTAATACATGTTTACATTGGAATCAAGTACAGCTGCAGTTTTCGATCAAGTTGTTAGAGGGATGAATATAACACTTCTTGCCTAACAGTGGTACAGTCATCTATTCTTGCAACATTCTGCTGTTTCAGAGTTTGCTTTTTCAGTGTCAATCTATAAATGGATGGACAACTACTGAATAAACAGCAAGATGTATACAATCATCCCAGTGTATATCAAACACATCTGTCACTATCCTCAGGGATTGAGAATAGAGGAACTATTTGGAAGCGTAACATAAAAATGCAAGAAAAAGTTAGACCATCTTACAAGTTCCACTATATGTCAGATCTAGCATGAGACCATTCTACACAACTATATTTAGAACGATCGGTAATATAAAAAATCCAGCATGAGACCATTCTACAGAACTATATTCAAGAACTATCGGTAATATAAAAACTCCTGCATGAGACCAGATGCTGACCTCTGGGCAGTAGTGGCGTTGGACTCCTGCTGCATGATCTCCAGAATCTTCCTGCAGGCCTCGGAGCAGGCCTCGGGGCTGCCGTAGATGGTGATCGGCTTCTCCTGGCCCATGTTCTCCTTACGGTGGACGTCAACTCTGCACAAACAAACAAATTTGGTCAGATTCTCAGAAACATTTCCGGAAAACCACAACTCTTTCCTATCCTTCTCAATTTGAAAATGAAATGTAGAAAATCGAGCCAGAGAGTATGGCTCTGTCGGTGACGGTGCTAGCAATAATTGTTGTCTACTCTGGCAGGATTATGCAGAAGCTGTAGTACCATTATGCTCCGCTAGGGCTTAGATAGGTAGACGCGTTAACACAAGGAAGTACAATGTACGTACACAACCGGCATACAATATGATTATCATGGGCAGATACAACCTCAGACTCCCACACGAAGATCAAGATAATAACTTTACCCCTGTCAACATGTACGCCTACACGTGTGCCATATACATGTATAAATGTAAGAGCTTTGAATGTTATCACATTTCCCCCTGCAGTATCCCAAAGCGCCGCTTGGGTTCAATGGCCAAGACATGTACAACTAGAAGCCAGATGAGTACAGAATAAGAAACAAAAGGCGGGGGAATCAACACGTTCTTTTCACAGATTTCACAGCACTACACTGTTGTTTGATAAGGAGCCAACTGTGAGATATCAATGGACTTGTTTATACTGATATCGCGCGGACACTTTGGCTTGGCTCAAACAATGGTACTAATCTGGCGCACGACTACATGTCTGAAATAACCTTGAGATATTGTTCTAGGGGCATTGTATAACCTTGAAAGCTTGCCAAGTTTACAATATGGGCAACGACATTGCCTTGTTAGGCTATGTCAGACCACTTGTTTTGATCACCATTTGCCAAGTTATGCTGGTTTTAGCTACAATGACGAAGTACAGTGTGTTTTTCTCCAACGCAGCTGGCATTGTGAATGGAAAAATAAAACATCACGAGTTTTCAGTCACGCTTTAGCGTTCTGTCAACATTCCCACCTGTAAGTTGTATTTTTAACTTTTGCATAAAACATTCTACTTTAATTATACGTACAATGTTGTGAGTCGAAATGATAATTTATAAACACAGAATCCTGCAACATATAAAGCAAAGACAAGAATCAGCATTACGTCCTGCCATTTCAATCCCGACAATTTCATTTTGTGAGAGATGGGAACAATTAGTCCTTCAATCGAGGCTGACTTACCCACACATGTTGTTAGGAGAACTAACACAATGTCCTTGGCAGAATGCCATGTCAAATTTCTCACATATAATCATCTCAATTCAGGGCTTGTCATTCTGTTTGTTTGGGCCAGAGATCAGCCTTGAGGCACCACCAGGGAGATTTACATCAAAAAGCCAAGGTTGATGCCACAAAAAATTGTTTGTGAGTAATAACCTGTGTGACCTTCCCCGAGGAAGGCTCCTTCCGCACCTGTACCACACGGTTGTGCGCCACAATGCGCTATCAATCATCCTAGATTAACGTTGTCAGGCATTACTAAAATTACCCGTCAATCGTAATAACTTTCCTGGCACAAGCACGTCAACTGCTCACCACAGATAACAAAACCAACTCCACAAAACTAACGGGAAGACTGGAATAAATGCCTATTATATTTGAAGGTTCTCTTTTCCCTGGTAAAAAGAACATATCAGACTTCTGACGATTTGTGTACATTTATCACAGGATTTAATGGATCGTAATAAACACATAACTGTCAGCCCTGACACTAATTGGCAAAACACACTGTCATACTTATTGATTTTAACAAAACCTGATCACCGTTCAAAACAAAACTCTTTGTACCTGTATTTCAGTAAAATGAAGATAAACTAGTTACTTTACTAACTGTCAAAATGAGATGTAGCCAGATTTAAGTAGGAGATATTCAAATCGGCAGTGATGCTCTGTCAACACAAGTGAGTACAGCAATTGAGCTTTCTGATGGATTCATTTAAACATCAAATACAAGCTGACTTCCCCTCTGAAAGAGGGCACAAGTGCATTAGGCTTCAATCAAAAACTGATCTAGCCTTTCAACCTCACAAAGTGGCAACGTGATAGGCCTTTATCCCACTGCAAGGGCCATAAATGTGAGCGACAGGTGCTTATAATGGACCGATCGCTACGGAATTCACCAGTCACGACTGTACTCTACACTACCCTTCAGAGAAACAAAATGCTACAACATCACATGGCAGTAGCTTCAGTCGTGCACTTCAACTTCAACTTGACTCCTGGTAGCTGCATCACAAATACTCAATGGACATTATGGTAATGTTAGAGCTTGCTCTCCAGCCTAAGGGCTTGTGTTAAAAAAAGTCAGCCTGTCAGTAACTTCTAACACCTTCAAGACAGGGAACAACAAACGATAAACAGGATATTGAGCATGTGTTTGTGAGTGAATAGTGATCATTGTCGTATCCAGAATAATACAATTTCTTTGTATCATTCAACAGTGTAATGCAAATATCGTCATGCTAGCCCTTATTGTTTTAGTAACTAGGATGTTTCAAGTTTTATTCTATATCTCTATTTTGTACTATATTCAGCAGGTAGTGCAATGCGTTGTACTGTGTACGATGTCATGCAGTGAAGTTCTACCGCATCTTCATTTAGGAGGATAGCTGAGCAGTGTGTGGGCATCGTGTTTCAAGTTCAAGATCTCTCCCAGGGTTGCCGCGATCCTTGACTGCCAGATTGTGCTGCAGACTTCCTGTGAGCTGAGCTAGGAAGTGCAGTAGACTAAAGGACGATTTCAAGGGGACATTTACCAAATCTCAGAGATAGGCTTTCCTGGGGTAAAGGTTAAGGTCGGCTGCGTAATTAGATTCATTCAAAAGCATAACAGCACATTTTTTCTTACTACCAACACAAAAAGGAATTAAAAGAGCCTTTGGAAAATCTTCCTATTGCAATTTGAATAATTTGGAAGCCAATTTTCTTTTTGTGCTAAAACTGCTTCCTGGACTAATCCAGGAAGGGGTAGGCAGAAAACTTTTTTGACTTGGGCTTAGTATTTTTCTTTCAGCACTGTCGCAAGATTAACCACAAATCCTGTTTTCCTGTAAGTGTTTGTAATGATGTTGCAATCAGGTAACTGCCTAGAGCTGCAACATCGCCCCCCCCCAAAAAAAAAGAAAAACTCTCACACACCTGCACTATGTTTGATAAGTTCTCAGCACCAACACCTGCAAGTATTTCTCCTGCCCCCCACCCTATTCCCAAGATGGCGTTTCATGCAGTAACCTTGACGGTCAATGTCGCTTCACAATGCCCACAGCTGGGAGGGTTAGACATACAGCAGTCTCAGGGAACACATCAGCAATTTGTGTGCAGAATACCATATCTCATGTCCGTGAGAAGCTCCTATAGCAAAATTGTGATATCTTGACCCCCTGAAATTTTACTACCTGCATTTTGAGGGGTACAATGTGCTGATAGACCAAGCTTGATTTTTGTCCGTTCAAGTTGACAGATTGGGAAAAATTTATTTATTGTCTGTCTTGAGCAGCAAAATTCCATCAAATCGGAGAGAATCTGAGGGTCATGAGTTAGAAAATTTCCAGACCCCCTACTGTAAATGTAATTGTGTTTTTAGGACTCAATGTGCTACTAACACCACAAACAGTTGTCGTTCTGTCCTGACCCGTATTATTCTTGTGAAAACCCTGCTTTCCATTGTGTGAATTTGTACATGCTGCATCATTTACCCTCCTGTTTAGTCCCCCTTCTTCATTCAAGCATACTGCAGATAGATGGGGATACTCTAGAGGTTTTCTGTCACTGAGAAGTAAGGATGAAAATAAATCTTACCAATTACATGTACATGGACCAAATCCTACTAAACGATCCTCTGTAAATGGTAGCAGAAATACCCTCATATCATGCCACATTTCTGCTTGCACGACAATGATAAGGAAGCCATCTGTAGCGTCTAGATAAGAGCAAAACTATTGAACATCTAAGAACCGACATTTGTCCAAAAGCCTCCTATTCAAGCATGAAATCCTCGTGGAGATTCATAGACATAGCTCGACTGTGGTTCTTTTATTATGGCTCTTCTGTGAAAAAAACAAAATCCGAAGACAGACGTTTGACAATCACGACCACAGACATAATCTACCTGTTCCAGAAAAGGGACTGTGCCAAATCTTTTAGTCAGATAACTTCCTCAGACGTCTCTGTACAACAAGAAAGTTGTCCTACAATGAGTAAGTCTAAAAACAACTCTATCAAGCCGGAAAGTCTGAGCTGTGCCATGAAAAAAAAACCCATAAACCCTTTAGTGCGTGATGATGACGCTTAATCGCATAGATATGGATTGGAATAACTATTACTTTGAACTCAAAGACTTTTCCCTGTCTTTCTGAGAAGGCAGGGCAGCACAAGCATATGGTGTCTAGACTTGGAGGGCGGGACGTTGACCCTGTCTGACCCTCACATTTAGGGGTTGTTCAATCTGTTGTGATCATGACAAACTTCAGTGGCCAAGTCATAAAGGTGTGTTACAACCTCCATTTTCTGCTGATCCAAAAACTTCTATTTGCAAGAGGTTTTCATCGACATCTTTGCAAAAACAAAACTGCAATGCTAGGTGCTAATTTGGTGGGAAAGCAACCCTTATCAAAGCGTTTTAAACAGTATCAGAAAATATCTTCTCGCCACATTGCGTCAGCAACTTTGTCTGCCACCAGGATATAGTCACGAACTATTTGGCTAAGGAACAAGGAAATCTTGTGTTTACATGAATCCCATCTGCCCGAGTATAAAGGATACATTTTGTTGAGGCAACATTGTTTTGTCTAAAGGCGAACGATCACGTGGGCCGGCCAACTCCGTCCCGCCATGCTTTTAAATCCCTGTGACGTCACCACAGTTTAAAGGGGCTACTTGAGACCACAGTGCAAAGTAGTCGCGGAATATGCACACGATTCTTTTGAAGTTAAAAGGAAAATAATCTTGCCATCAGCCTCAATGTCAGTGGCACAGTGTGTTGTCTTCATTGAAATGCGGCTCATGTTCTACATGGAAATAAGTGGGGAGATCAAATTATGAGCCAGCATTCCTACAGTCAAACGCTGACGTAACTGATCCTTATGTCTGTTGGCGAGAGATAATACAGTTATCGGGCACAATCTGACTGAAAAAGAAGAAAGACAGATCATATTCAGGTGCATTGTAATTAGTTTTCTTCTGAACTGCTTAGTCATCTCAAACAGGCGCACGACAGCCAACTCCAAATTGCAAATATGGAGACAAATTTCCATCCTTGATAAAGTCAGCCTGGCTTATGAAGCCGCTCCTGCTGTGTTGTATCATCTGCCATCGGCAACGCTTATTTCTGGATCACACAGGGTCTTCAGACATCTTTAATTATTAATACTGAAAACAACAGAGGGTTGCTTTATGTCCAATTAAGGCCACACTTCTTCTCTGCATTCATCATAATTCATATTTTGTATTGCAATATTTCATATCTAATACATACGGATATTTTTCTCAACATTTCTTTTTTTCCACCCACTTTTCCATCACAGTCATACATGTACATTTTTTGTCCCTTTCTTTTATTTGTTCCTTCCTTCCTTCCTTGTTGTGTGAACCTATCAAAGTGACCTGAAGACAACATATAATTCACCTTGGTTTAACACGAGTGTCACAGAGGAAACCAACTGGGACCTGCAATCAGAACGGGACATCTACAGGCTGAAGTTCAAGAGTTTTCAGCCATGAAGCGTGGTTAGCAACAAAAGAGGGTAGAGGAGACTCGCTGACACGTCCAGTGACCATGCCCAGGCAGCTGGGTGTTAGACAAAGCAAGTCGGTTTATTTTTGGCGTCTGGTACCTGACCGCAGAGTCAACAAACCAAGTCTGCCTCAGCCCCTCCCCCTGCCTTCCCACCCAGTCAACCCTACAAGATAAACGAGGATTACTTCCTAGTCAAAGTCAAGTGGTGCTCGTTCCTGGTGGGCACGGTCTCAGCCTGCTGACTAAACAACCTTCGGTGCGCTTCACAGGATCTACATCACGCACCAGGTTCAAGGAGGCCCAACTATTCAAAAAAGAAATCTGAAGCACCATGTCATGAAAACTGTTGAATTTGATTTGTAAAATCTGTCAACCATCAAAAGTACTTTTATCGCAAGTTTTTGTTACAATGGTCTTTTATCTCACTTGAAGTTTAAGGTAAACAAGTTGTTATTGATACCGTCTAGAAATAAAAAGGATGGCCAATACACTCCGTCTCAATAGGCATGGTTGTAAGACATCTGTCAGCCATGTCTGGACAAGTCCTTCGAATCTTTCAAGACATGCCAAGAAACTTGAGAACAAGACGTACTTGAAAGGCAACTTCCAAGTTGTTGAGTTTGTGCCAGGATTGTGTTGACTGAATTGTGAAACACAAATTGGTTTAATCAATGAATTCCCTTTTGTTGTCCCCTTTTTATACTTTGCTTACATTTTTCTATCATTACATAAAATGTTGGCCAATTTATTGCTGGATTTTACATGCTCTTTAGGAGAATGGTTTATTCCTCTTGGTACAACTCATTTCCAAGAATGTTGGCAACATCTAACACAATGGGTTTTCCCAAAGGATGGTGGGAAGGTTTAGGTACACAAGACAAATTATATATGGCTCAAAGTGATGAAGTCGTGTCTGGGGTATGACAATCAACCCAACTTGCCCTTATTTGGATACAAAAACCAGGGCAGGAAGTTCAGACATCTGTCTGTTGAGTTGATAGGGTAAGATTAGGTCAACAAAACAAAGCATAAAAAATGAATATTTAATTGTGACCTGTCTACTACAAAATTTTTCAAATAAAATCAGGGCAATTGGTATTGATGACGTTACATTGTGCCTATTACCAATTCTGACTTGGTCGCTTGGGCGCAATTACTAACAATACATCAGTACAAATCACACATGAAATTCAATTATCTAAGACAAAATGAATGCTATCGCCTACTTTACTCCCAAACTTTCCTAGTCATTCGCATCATTATGTTAAAAAGTGACTTGCGACAATCATTGTTGACCAGCCATCCTTCTCTTCCTGGAACTTACAAACAAGACACAAACATTTTGCACGTCAGCTTCTGGCTTTCTGTCTGCAGGTGCCCCCCTCCCCCAAGAAGATTCCAAAACACCAGCTTGCGTTAGCCTTGGTACTGGAACTTCTGCCAAATCCCTCCCCAAAGGCCGAGAGGGGATCGCTAATTCAATGAAACACAGGGGTGAGCTGTCCTATCCACTCTGGAAGGGCTGGGAGCCAGGCGGCGACTCTTGTACACGCATGAGTACCTAATCACAAGGGTAATGACAAATTACCGCTCTATGGGATACGGATCACGTGATCGCGAGCTGCATGGTTTCGGGCCACTTTGCAGACGAGATGCGGGAGTCGGCTCAGCGTCTACCTGATCATGTAATGAAATCACACCAGGGAGGGTTGGAACGGCATCAATTGTTCTCTTGCCAGCGAGAAACAGCGAGCTAGCGAAAATGTAGTCGTGTCTGTGTCCCACCTTTTCCAGTTCAGTTAAGTGTTAACAGTTTGCAAAGGCAGCTAATCAACGGGTCAAGACCTAGTCCCCTGGGGCCTGTAACTGTCAAAATGTTGAAAATCTATCCAGCCATCTTCCATAATTACGAACAATGGCATCTTTTCCATTTCTCTGCACTTTTAACTACCTTATCAGTCTGGCTTGGCCCCAAGTTTAACAATATTACTCCCGCATACCTGTTAATTTTGCAAAATGCAGACGTCTAAGCAGCCTGTGACGTCTATATGAACACTGAAATATCAGTTATGAGTCGTTAACAGATGGGTTAACTACGAGACTTCATGCCGACAAATCAGCTATGGTGGCAGGGAATACATTACAGCCTACCGATTAGAACCTTTTTTAACACCTGATGATTGGATAATTTCCCTACTTTTATTCCGTCGCCCGTCGTGGGGCAGCGCCGGGAAAGCATAATGCGTCTTTCTAAACAAGCGGTTAAGTCTCGCATAAAACTCACTACCCACACTCCGCTAAACTTGTCACTTTTCCCACTTTGTTCCAGTCAATCATATCCCCGAGGTGCGCGGTAATGTGTCGACGTGTGTGCTCCAATCCCTTCTTGGAGGATGCAGCTACGCGACGGGCGACCCGCCGGGAATTCAACACGGTAAACAGAGTCTGCTTGAGACCTTCTAAATGCAGAAATTACAAAGTTCTGGATGCAACCCGTGTGGGGAAGAAATGGAGGAATAAATCAACAAGGCACGATGCTGACAGCACATTATAGCATCTTTAGGTCGGAACATTCCCTCTTAATCACAAGATAACTTGGCCAAAAGCCATAGGAATGCATTTCAGGACAAATTTGATAAAACGACCAGCTTTATACAGAGAACTATTTGTCTGAGACACAAATTCTTCAAATATGTCTGTTTTCATAAATATGTCTTCTGTAATCATTTTTGATATTGCATAATAAAAAAGTTAGTTTGTGTCATCATTACATACTTTTCTAATCATTGAATTGTCACCAAACTATATACATACATCATTAAACACTATTTTGACAGAATAACTAAGGGAACATAATTGCTGCTTCTTGCATTTAGCAAGCACTAATTGCCAATGGCATCGTCTCAACACACAGTATAGAAAACCATGATATGCTTTTCCTTCTGAATACACTTGTCCAAAAAATTATCTAATTTTCAATTTGTCACTCCTCTCGAAAGTGCAATCATATTAAGATAGATTGAACTTTTCTAGTCTGGAAAGATATGAAAGCAAATCCTACAAAAAATGCATGGGTGTTACAGCAGGTGACAGCCATGATGATATCTGACATTTATCCTATATGCCACGACTGTATAGAAAGTGCTTGTTTAGTACACAATCTTAACTCCCAATCCTGGGAGTGATTGCGATGGATGATTCCAAAATGTTTGAAGGGGGTGCACTTACTTGGCTTTGGTGGCTCCAGTGATGGTCCTGATGGTTTGTCCCCCCTTCCCAATGATGGCACCAACCATGACATTGGGAACGAGCATTCTGAAATAATGGAAAGACTTTCATGATTTTCTAAATATCATCTATGTCTTTAACACCAGCTATATGATCGTAACTTGGATGATTTTCAAAGGTCTTCAGTTGCGAATCAAGAAAAAAGAACTAATCAACATTCATTCATGTTACCCCCACGGGTACTGCTCTTCCCCACCCCCACCAAAGGATTCTGGGATTACCTGAGAGGGAAGTCCTGGCTTTGGCCCTGGATGCGGTTCCCGTAACCACCGTATCCTTGGTTACCGCCTCCGGGGTTGTATCTGTTGCGGTAGTAGTTGCGTCCTCCATTTTCGTTCACATAGTTCACCTGGGCACAAAAACAATCAGAATGTCAATCAGACTTCTTTCATGATCTAGCAGCTCAAAATCAAATACCAAAATGATATCCTGATACTGCGATTATTATTACTTAACTGTAACACAAGTGTCCTATCATCTTTCATCATTATGTGTATGTGTTTGCTTGTTTACACAATTTTTATAATGAGGAACTATAAACAACAAGTAAATGAAGTAAGATATGGATAATTTGTTAGACAGTCAAAAGAATTATATATTGAGGATAGGATTAGGTGTGATGCTAATGTAACAACATGCATGCAATGAGAAAGGAATTGTCAATTGTTTCTTGTTTTCCTAATCCCCAATTACTAAATGATATATCTGACTGTCAGCCCCGGCATAGCAATTGCGCCCTCCGAAGCACATCAGCAAAACATCCTAATGAAAAGCGTAAAAAAATCCACGTTTCGCACAGTGCGTTCTGGCAACATACTACTTCCCCAACCCTACACCCCTGCATTACCAACCAAACACAAAGTGGTATGGTCCATGGTCCATGATATTTGCCACACCAACTTGACCTTGGGCACAGGAGACCTTACAACTGGCAAACCAATTTTCTCCAGAGACTTTCTTGATTACGGAGGCTTAACCAAACTGGCCTCTTAATCTGAGCACTAAGGAGCGAGAAAATCTCATTCACCTTGCCAGTCCATGAGAATAAGCATAGAAAATCCTTAGAGGGCAACGAAAATCCTTGCAAAAAAAGACGAAATACAGGACCTTTGGGAATGTGGGGGGATCAAAACCTTTTCTTACCAGCCATGAAAACACTGATGGCAGCAAGTTCTTATCAAAATCTTCAGCATTACACTACTCAGACTGCAATGAATTCTAAATGCGGGATCTAACTCACCTTCCTATCACCAAGCTTAGCATGCTTTTGATCCACCACCCAAATGTTTGCCATGTCTTTCAAGTTCTCTCCAAGAATACATCAACATATCTTAACGTCATGTCTTTCCTGTGATACATAACCTACAGTTCGGCTAACAGGTCTACAGGGACACACTGCAACAAGTCCTCAGTCCTACAAACCAGTCAACTGTGGATCACTGCCATTCTAGCATCAAATCTTAACTTCAGATCAATCTTTTCCTTTCTGTTGACTTGCATGAAAAGACTGATACTACACAAATTTTGATTCTACACCTATTCTGATTATCTTTACTTTGAACATTGCTACAACAACCACGTCTGCAGAACGTACTACTCCTGTGCAAAACCCATCATGTATCATGCATTGCACTTCGTCTCATTTAAGATCATTTTCAGGTATTTAATGATGACATCCTGTCTATAGTTTTCAAATGTTCTGTCAGAAAAAAATATCCTGGTAAAACTCATTTTTCCATGGCCAAATAGTCACCTTGCCGTCTGAGCAGGTACTTTGACACAAAGGCAACAACAGTCAGTCCTGTAATTGCCCATAGTTAGAGCGTCTATCCAGGTGTGAATAATACTTACATCCAGGTACGACCCTTCACAGTACTTGTGGCCACGGAGGTGATTCACAGCCCTGCAAAACACGCACACATCATTAGAAAATTACTTGACGAAACAAAAATTCCATTTTGACCTAGAATGACCATAACTCAAACAGAAAATACAAGAACGACTAAAATTAGCTTTAGAACCTACAGGCACACAATCAAAACCGATTTACTTAAGGGAAAAAACCCGACGTACAAAAACGGTGTATACACGCGAGCATACAAAAACATGCAGACATACATGTACACTCTCGTGCATAGGCTGTTTTCATACATGTACATCAGATCTTTGCCCGCATTAGAGCAATAGAAAGGTTTTCCTAACTATTCCGAAGCAATATAACTTCAACACTGTCTGTTATGGAATAAACTCATGATTGACTGATCTGCAGCCAACTGATGATGATGAATATAACTTACTGTGCTGCTTGTTCTGGGGCTTCGTAGGTGACGTTGGCAGTTTTGGTTTCGTTCATTTCGTGTGCTGTAGTGAAAATAAATACACACAAAAAAGCTACATAAACATGTATACATGATATTATACAGTGCATTCAAAAACTTTGCAAAGCAATTCATCTACTTTAGTATATAATCAGGCAGAGTACAACATCTAGCTCAACAGTTAAGACTACATGGCAGTTTCTTACTCTTTGATACATGATTAATTATACATTTTACAAGATATAAATGGTTTCTTCTGCACTAATGTCTTAAGGGGAAAGCTCTTACAGGTTGTTATGTCAAGTCCTAAGTGCTACACAGTGATTTAATGCCATATTAAGGTCACATAAGTACAAGAAGTTGTTGTAAAGTTTGCTGAAGACAGAAGGAGAAACTCACTATGGCATTCCTTGATGGTACCGAAAGTTGCAGCCAAGTGTCTGATATCCTCGTCGGTAGCCTGATTGGGGATGTTGCTGATTGACACTTTGGTTGTGCGGCTTCTGGGTCAAAAGAGGGCATGTCGTAAGTAATTGTGAAGAACACATTAGACTATTTATGCTCTAACTGTTGGTAATGGCATTTGTCATAGATACATATCTCATTCTAAAACCTTGAAGTTGCATAAGCACAACAAATTAGTTCTAGTACAGTAGTACACTTAAGATAATGCCATCAGGGTGCTAAGCTTAACTACTTATAAATTATTGAACACCATTTCCAAATTTGCATATTTGCTTTTCCTGGACAAAAAAGTGTCATGAAAGGCTTGGAAAAGGGTATTTTTTGCTCAGAACCTGCAGCTTTGCAAACTGACAGACATCCATCAAGAAACAATCTCTACATTCTAAGCAATATGAAACATTTGCCTAAAGGTACCTACATGTATCTTAAACATCCAGACATCAGAAAACTTACTACTAGCAGTAGAATTCCAACATAGGCCCCAAGACATCAACATTTGACTGTTACTGTTACTGTTACTGTTACAGTACACCCGAGTTTAGACTACTTTTGTGTGCCCTTCCTTCACCTGCATGTTTAGGGGATTCTCTTACACTCTTCAAAGGAGCCTCTACAACAAAGGCTCCACCTTGAGTTACTTTCTCAAGTGTCAAGGAACATTTTCTTCCCTCTTGTTTGCAAGAGACCCACCATTTACTCCAGCGACAAAACAAATTCACACTCCTTTCTCCGGCAATACGAGTGTCTGTTCTTGTGTCGGGTGAAAAATCATCAACAAACGTATCTCAAAGCCGAACACACAACAGAAACGCCAAACTGGTCTCGGAGGAAAATTGCACGGGAATATAACGGATGGCGAGACCTTTCCGTTTTGAATGAATGCCATCTTCTATTACCTTCTGTACAAATCAGACTTCCTCCCGCATGCCTCAGAGTGAAATTGGGTCTGACTAATGCTGGAATAATGGCTGATTACACCCAACCTGTCATTTACGACCCCTCCCCACCTGAACAGGTCAAGGGTCAATCACAGATCGGCCAACAGCATGGTATTCTCCCTGCTATAGGTATGGAAAATATACCACCCCACTTTGTACAACATGGCCTCCAAAATGAGCTAATTTTTCTGCCCAAATTTTATCTCCTCAAAGGAATGAGACCATACCATACTTCTGACATGTATTTGAGAAACATGTTATGGGTTCACGAATAGCTAACCTTTACAATACAATGGTAAAAGCGGCTCTTGTAAATTCGCTTTAAGAAAAAAACACTGGGCCATCTTTGAAGTTAATCCTACACAATTCATGCACAATTTTATTGAAAGGGTTAAATGGCATATAAAATTTGACTGGGAAACCCTGCCTTTGAAACCATATACTTCAGGGCTCATGCTTGCTTTTAAGCGTGGCCCCACCCTGCTATGCTTGCGTCAATGGATTAAATTATATCTAAGTGCTCCATTCCAATCACACTAACTGTATCCTTAGAGACCGTACAATGTGCAGCCAGATGCTAAGTCAGCACACAGTTTCACAGAACGTCTGTTTCTCCTTGTGGTTCTTACGAAACCTACGACCCTTCGTCTTTAGACCACATGGAGCTTACACCGCTTTTGAAGTCATGTCCAGTCGCATAAATCTTCTGTGCCTAAGAATATATCCGCTGTAAGTTTCCAGAACCGCAACGTTTTGTCACGATAACTGCCGCTAGTGAGTTTATATACCTCCCAGGACCCATTCACTTAAGCCTTCCCTCCAGGCTGTCACGGACTTGGGAACAGCTCTTAAAAAAAACATCAAGTAATGCGATTATGCAGAAGGGTCAAAGAGATCACCCACTATCAGATCTAGTCAGAGGCAGGGGGGTCTTTCTTTGGCAGACAGAGTCTTTACTAACTGTGAGCATCTAACTGACCATGCACATGAATGAACAGGGACCTTTCTCCATTGACCATGACCTTTAGCCTTTGAAACAAATGGTTGACCTTGTGCTCCTTCTATGGCCTGCACTTTGGACAATTTTAACTCATTAGCTACATTCATGCACGAGATGCTGTTCTACATATCTGGGTCAGAGCTTTTTCCAGCAGAATTAGATGAAATATGCAAGTTGCTGTGCTCTGGGAATAGGAGGTGGCAGCAATTCCAATGCATTAGTGCATGACAAATGCTACTGTCAATTTTGGGCAAGATTGATAATTATGTGCCTACCAGGGATCCAGTTTGTATTCATACTCTGTGGGGATCAGAACTGCAGAAATCTTAATAGCTTCACAAATGTGCTAGAATTTCAACATTGAACCCCTGTGGGGGACAAGGCTGTGGAGGTGGGGAGGTCACATAGCTGCCGACAATAAGACTTTTCTATTTAGCTGGGAAAATATGACTTCAGGCAGAGTGGGAACATTAAGGGCCCCAAGGTAGCCTGCGGTCCCCTGACGGAAAACATCCAACTGAGAATTAACACCCCAAATTTTGTGCCCACATCTGCAGCAATTTGTGACACATCTGCGCCGGAGAGCGTGAATTCCTCCAGCGCTGCGCACTTCAACTGAAATGTCACACTCAACTTGTCTACCGAAGATGTTGCCAGGGTAACCCCAACCAAATTTATCTTGACTGTCATGGTGCGTGAAACTTATGAGGCTTTTAAAAGTCCCAGCTACCTGCTTTGAATTTGAATCAATCCTCCCAGAAGAAGGTAGAAATCCCTGTTTTCCGCCTCCCTAGGTCTCTTCTCCACAAATTACCATCCTGTGATCATCAGCTGGAAAAGCCCACCTGGAGACAGCGCACACAGAACCCAGCCACCCACCACCGTAAAACGTCGTACATTTAAATCTTCTTAACCACAACCTGATAGCAAATCTCTCATAAATCTACGCAGAAAAGAATTATCAAAACAACCACTGAGCCACTATTTGGAGGACAATACATGCAACACAACAGCCGACAACAAAAACATTGTATTAGGCGAGTTGAACGCCAGCCAACATTGATTCATTGAGTGGCCTGGCTAGGGCGGACGCTGACCGGTCACTGACCATGGTCCGGCTAAGTTCAGAGTGCATCTCAGGTCACCGTGTGTCCACCTAACTGACCCACATATTACTGCAGCCCTAAGTGGATCTGTTCTTTAGAAATAATCTATCCAGATGCTCAAAGGGGGATACGTTTCCTATAGTTCGAAAAAAATAAGGTTATTAAGAAGATTTCGAAAACGAGCGCATGGCTGTACACGTAGAGGCTGTCAATTTCAAGTGTTGGTGTAATGAATGTAGTCTAGACCGAGTGTCAACAAAACAACATGCCCCATTTCACAGGCAGGCCTGTTGAGATCAAGGGTTGCAAAAGCCGGACCCAGCGGAGCTTTCGTGCCAACACAGCCTGCATTATCCCACCCAACATTACCAGCAATACTCCACAGTCTTGGTCCGTTGACTGAAAATAAAAACAGTCGTGGTGACAACTTGCAAGGCTGGCATCATGCATGCACTGAGGTTTACAGGGAGTCTAAAATGGATTTCCTATCAAAATCAAAATCCTTTCAAAGGAAATACATACATCATCAGACAAGCAATTACACCGAAATCAATATCGAATGCCATACCTGATGCTTAAATCTCATTTTGTACAGGTATATTTATATGGAGCCCAGCAAAGATGTATTGAAGTACATTCTGAAATCTATTACAGCATTTTTCATTGTTTTGCTTTCTCCGCTTTTTCTTCAAAATGTCTTCCAGTAACCAAGAATGACAGTCCTTGGGAACCTAAAGGCATAACATTCAATTCACGGAGCTCGTGACAAGTTGACGGTGTCATTACTGGATAGCTGGTGGCTACAGTTGCACGCAGATCCCCATAATCCCTTCACAACCTGGGCTGCAAATTGTCTAAAAGCGGGAGTAAGCTTTCCGCCACAGAAAATTTCAGTTGCTACATGTCTGTCAAGTGCGACCACCTTCTGTAATATACACCGCCAAAGCCTGAATGGTACACCTGTGCTGAATGGTTAATCTCACACAGGTGTCTACAACCAATCAACAACACTGTGTTGCATAATAACGTCAGGCTTCGGGAGTCAAGGGTCAAGTTGGGGTTCATTGGCAGGGTTACCTTTCACATGTCCAAACAGCAAAACCCCTTGTGGGGCCCAGGTTTTGTCTGGTACGTCTTATGAAGCCAAGCTATGGATGTAATCAAAAAACACATTTCCTCTCCCCGTCATTAGAAAATGCCAGTCTGGCACCACAGTTGATTTAAAATGACTGTCCAACCCTCACACAATCACCCCTGGCTGCACTTCAGCATGCGTGGCATTTAAACATGGCAGCCTGCATAGCAATGAGGTGCCAACATCTAAGGCCAGACTGTCTAGAATACCGAGAAGGAATAAGGCGAGCAGAAAAGGCCGCTAGATGATCCTATCTTATCCGGCTACCCTTGAGTGCTGACAATTCTAATCAAGCAAAATTACAACTACTCCTAGCAGCCGTGCGTAGGCAGTAATCATGTGAAACTGTACACACGCCCGTAAACACACCAAATATGGCGTCTGACGGGGGACAAAGGGAAGGCATCAGAAGGGATGGAAAGAAAACGTGACAATACCACATGAAATGCGCACCAGAGAAACTGTAAGGTTGCCACGGCCTTCCATGGTTGTTCATCCACCAGTCCAAAGGTTCTGGGCACAAGTCCAAGTTTCCGGAAAGGGACAAAAGCTGGCAATATACAGCAGCTGCCTGAATAGACGGCGGCACCAGGAAAACAGCAGCAGTGAAAAGTCGTGGACTTGACCCGGTGACCCTTGCGAAGAGGGGGAATCTGGGAGTCTACGCACGTGAGGGATGGCGGGAACGAAAGCGCGGGGAAAAAAACGGAACGACGCGCGATTCAAAATCGTGCCACGTGCCCGGTGCGGGACGCGGCACGCGTAGAAACTACGAACGCCGCGAAGAAATTCCGCGCTTTAGTCGCGAACGCTAAAAACGATACAGAATCTACTAACGCTGGAGGATTTATCCATTTCG